AATGGGCATAAACTTGAACATAGGAAGTTCCATCTTAACATGATAAGGAACTTCTTTACTTTGAGGGTAGTGGAGCACTGGCACAGGCTGCCCAGAGAGGTGGTGGAGTCTCCCACTCTGGAGACATTCCAAACCCGCCTGGACGCTGTCCTGTGCAACCTGTTGTAGGTGACCCTGCTCTGGCAGGGGGGTTGGACTAGATGATCTCCAGAGGTCCCTTCCAACCCTAACCATTCTGTGATTCTGTGAATTATTACAGTGTAATTAAGGGCGTAAAGAGCATTACAGGAGCGCCAGTTTTCATCCTGCAGTGATGGGAAGACAGACTAGTGGTGTGGCTCCCAAAGGACCAAATGAACGTACAGGGAGCAAAATCCTGTCCCCACGGCTAGGTCCTGCAGTGACCTGACTACACAGAAACCTTGTTTTTTTGATAAAAAAACCCCAAGTGTCTCGCCATCGTGGGTGTTGAGAGCTTTGCAGAGTGGCTGGTGCAGTGGTGTCTGACTGAGCCTGGGGTGTGTGCTTCCAGCCTTCACCCCCCTGCATTGCTTTGAACTTCCCTCTCCGAAGCCACCTCAGCAAAGCACGCTTCTTAGCTGGAGGAGAAAAGAGTAGTGGGCCAAACCTCCTTTGAAGTACTTTTTGATTCATGTAAATAATTAAGATTAAATGTCCTAAGTACAGTCTGGAAGTGCTTTGCATTTTAATCCAGGGGAAAACTTCACCTGTCTTACCGTAATATTGCTTAAAAAACAGGGTAGCAACAGTTCTTAGGACCCTCTGTGCTGTCACCCAGGGTAACTATTTCTGCTGAGGACTAAAAGGGTCATAACAGCTTTTCTTTCATGTACTAACTCAGCATTTGAATCTATTTAGGTTTTCAGAAACGTAAGTCATGTTTTATGAATGATGCAGCTAAGAGTGTTGCTAAAGGTGTCGACTGAAGGTTGGTTGTTGGCAAAAGGATGTCTTGAGTTTTATCAATATAAACGCGGTGCTCCTTAGTGCGGTTTCATTGGTCTGCTGAGACAATAACAGTTTACATGAAGATATAACGTTAACAGGAGGGTGGCTGGAATGATGCCAGCAGTTTTTGGCTCGCCTGTGAATATGGCTGATCTTTTTTTGGACGTGAACAAACCTGAATGGTACGTGTTGCCAAGGAATTAAGGTTTGGTTGGTTGTTGTTGGTTTTTTTTCTTTTTGTACAATATACTTTTCTAACGGGCAGTAATGCATTGAAATACAAAGATCTCAAATGACATAGTAATTTTAAAAAGGGCATCTTGTTCAGGATGCTCTGAGCAGTGTTTCCCAGCAGAATAATTGTGACCTGAGTATCTTAGATGATTACTGCACTTATTGCAAGGGTAGGGGAGTCATTATACTTAATGCACTTGGTATGAGAAATTGTAAGGGATACGTTTGAAAGCAAACAGTACCAATCAGTATGTGACTTACACTATTTGGTTCTTTCCCATTAATTTTTTGCTGATGTAGGTTTACTGGTGATAGTGCAGTCACCCCTGATTTACACTAGTGTAAGTGAAAACCAGAATCATGCTCACAGTCATGCAAAAATGTAAGCCATAATAGGAGAGCAAAATATTAGTTTATTTGTCTAGCAACTTATTGCACTCAAACTGTGAGAATCTTTTTGTATCATTATCCCATTATCAGTGGCTAAATAAGGAATTGAAAAACTACAGAAGAGCTGGGTGGAGACCTAAGAAAGCAATTCAGCAGTCTGGAACTTCCTCTGCTAAGCAATTTTGGCAATAAACACAGGCAAAATCAGAGTTATTCAGCCAAAATAAATCCATGCAATGACGATATCAGATGTGAGGTAACGGCAAGTCACGCTGGAGGATATCAGACATTCTTGAATAAACCGCTGGGCCTAGATATAGTCCTTTGCCATTACACTGCAGCCCTGCCAGCAAAGCAAACACAAATTTTGGAGTCATTATGGCAAGGCAAGTAAGAGCATATGGAGCTTGTGCTTAGGGTGGGAGCTGGCAAGCTGCTGAGCACCTTCTGCTCACACGCCCCCAATAAGCATTAAATATCCTTCATTCCCACACTCTGATCCCTGTGGAAGCAAACACCTCTCTAGTATCATTTCCACAAGAAACAGCTGCAAGGCTTGTTGAAGTCTTTCCTTTGCTGTCAGGACATTATTGAGCAAACTTTTCTTCCGCTAACCTGGCTGTTTTCCTTAATTTTTGTATGTGTCCATATGTTTGGGCATATTCTTGAAAGCGATTGGACTGCCTTATCTCATGGAGATTTTCAAGCCCCGCCTGGATGCAGTCCTGAGTAATGTGCTCTGGGCAATCCTGCTTTAGCAGGGGAGTGGGACTAGGTGATCTCTAGAGGTCCCTTCCAACTCTGAAAATTCTGTGATTCTGTGATCTTAAGAAGTTGCTGCCTATCATCTGAGGGGTGTAACCAACCATGCATACACTCGTGACTTACATTAGCCATTCTTACTTTTCATTTGGGTTGGGTAGTAAGACGTTCAGAGGTGAAAGTGAGAGGTGATCACTTCTTTCTGCTTACCCCGCCTCTGCAACACTCAGACAGACTTTCCTGCCGCACGAGTGAAACCTACACCAGTTTTCCTTCATCGCCCTATACTTGGTGGTGCTCCTGGAGGTGTGTCAGAGGCCCCCATGTAGAGGAGATGCAGCAGGTATCTGGGGCAGTGCCCTTGGCAGTAGCTTTCTGTATTAGGGTAACATGACCTTTTCTGACCAGATTTCTTCATCCTTAACCAGCTCTGCCCCAAAAAGGTGCTAGACCTTTGGCTCAGTGGCCATTCCAAAGCGCCCTTTTGGAAAAGGGGTCTTGGAAGACTAAGTTACAGTGATACTCACCATGCATGGGCGTATTCCTTCCTCCCCGTTTTCCTAATCACTGGCTCGGGAGATATGCACAGAGCTTGCTTTTCTTTTTCGTGCTAGGTGTTGCAGGAAGCCCCCCACACCGCAGATCCCATTTGACTCATATGTATGGTATTTGGCTACTGCGCTTGAAAAACTCGTGCTCTGATTTATAAGCTAATGTGAAATGCTGAATTCTGGACTTGAGTAAATGAGTTAGTGTGTATTGTAGTTTAGGACTATTAAACACTGAAACGCAGCAAAGGAATTAAGTTAGTTCCACATAAAAAGGGAGATGTTTTATTAGAGGTAATAAATTCAGTGCAGAACAAATTTATTTAGACCATGATTGTTAAATTGCTTGGATAATTAAAACCTGTGATGGGTAAGACGACACGTGGTAGGAAAAGGTTAAGTACTTAACTCAGTTTTTTCATAGTTTGATTCATTGTAAGGTAAATACTACTTGTGTGGGGTATGTTAACTTTATTTCTAAAATGTGTTCGCCCAGGCAGTGAATAGTGGTTATTTCACGAGGTTAAGAAAATATAAAGCTAAACTTTTATGACATTTATATGAGCCAGCTCTAGACAGAAAGATGTAAGCACTGAAGAAAATATAAGCACTGTAGAAACTGTGTCATTTTGACCATACAAGGGTCTAGCTGCCTGGTTAATGTCTGGCGTTTATGTGAATTCCAGTGCTTTCAGATATCTATTTTTATCCTTCATTAAATTCTTCTTGGAGTGACACAACAGAAATCCCAAAGAAAATCGCCTAGAATAGTTTCCCAAATCTTTTCTCACTTTTCCTTGCATAATGTTATGCAAATCTCAAATTACTGTGCTTCTTTTGGGATGAAGTTGAAACAAGAAGTGGAGAAAGTTTATCCCACCTCTGCTGACTGCAAGAGGACAGCAGGCTATATGTCCCCTACCAGGGACTACTGTGTAGATTTTCAATCGGTGTGACACTCCCTTTGTTTCTATTTTTCCTGCTTCTTGATTGAAAAAACAGGCTGAATCCTACCTAATTTTCATCCAAAAATGACATCGTGCAATGATGAACTTAGCCATGCTTGAAAGAGCGCATTCTACAGTGGAATAAATGCGGTTTTAGCCCATGCGTGGAGCTGTGCACAGTCTGCCAGCAGCCAGCATCCGCAGCTCTTGGTAGGGACATACCTTTAGGTAGATGCCGAGCTGGAAGCTGCAGAACTGTGTAGCTAAATAAGTGCAGACCCACATGTAGTCAGCTTGGATCCCAAAGAACAGAGCCTGCCCAAATCGATACGCCAGATGTGTGTCCCAGGTGCAGGGCTAAGAAACTATTTCTTTTTTATGCTACAGATATTTTTTCAACCATTTGAAGGTTCTTTTTTTTTGCTCTTGTCACATACCAATAATCAGATATCTACTTCTAAAACTAGTGTGCCGGTTTCTTGTTTTATTCATATACATTCATGGATGTCTGGAGTTATTTTTTCTACAGAGGGCAGAATTTGGATCACCATTTCTAAAGCTGAAAGGCTGCTGTGTATGCCCAGTCTGCCACGTAGGCCTTTTTAATGGCAATATGTATCTGCAATGATCTGGGGACACAATCTGACACCTTTATCTATTTTACACCTAATTCTACACGTCATCCCATTGAATGACTTAATTAAATGAGGTCAGAGAATAAATAATTTCAGTCTGAGAAGCTAGCCTGTAATTTGCCATTTAGTAGATCATGGACTAACAAGGCTTATGGGCTATTTCCTGCATTTCCTGGCATTCAACTTCATGTCTGTCTATGTAGGAAAGTGTGTGTTTCAACACACCTAGGATCAGATTTTACTTGCACTGAATTCTGTCACTTTGTTTTGTTCACCTGACATCAGTTTACAGTAAGCAAGAAGTTAGATCATTATATTTTTTTTCCCATTGAGATAATCTATTAATAGAATGGGAGGATATTATAAATCTAGCTTCCTTTAGTTCGTGCTTAACAGCCTGAATCAAACAATTGAGATTGCTCTTCACCAAAGGCAATATTGTGTGTTCTGCTGTAAAATGTAATGTAGATATACTCCAGCACTGGAAATAATGGTTCTGCTCCTCTTTTCTGCAGCAATATGAGAACTGGCGACCAAACCAGCCAGACAGCTTCTTTTCTGCTGGAGAAGACTGTGTTGTTATCATATGGCATGAGAATGGGCAGTGGAATGATGTGCCCTGCAATTATCACCTTACCTATACCTGCAAGAAAGGAACAGGTACAAACTTTCCAGTAACAATAGCATAATTCTCTAAATTCCAGTTTTATTCTAGCTGATATCTGGTGACCAGCAGAGTGAGCCCTCAACTGAATTAGCCTCACAAAGTCATCTTTTGTCTGTATCCACATATTACATCTCTACCTAATCTGTTCTTGAGTCATGCACAAAAGCCTACACAGTTGAAACTCCTGGTTAAAACCAGGCAAATTTATTTGTAGGTACAGATCTCAACAAAAGAGGCATTCATGTACCTGTCAGGTCTGTTTTACTTGCATACCGTGAAAATATTAGCAACTCCTCTTTCCCGGGGTGGCATCACTGTGAAGTATGTGGGCAGCAGAATATTGGTAGGCAGTCATAGCAGGCAAGTGACCACTGGTATGTGGTTAGCTCTTCAGCTTCAGTTGAGCGTACTTTTCACCCGTCAAGTAGTGTTGATCTTTGTCTTCCTCTTTTCCAAAACCATCTAGTTTAGTGGCACCACTGGAATCTGAAAAGCCCGGTTGGTTTATACACAGTTAGAGCTGATATTTACAAGAAACCTGACTATTACCAGGAGCTGTACAGCAATACTTTAGGAATTGCCTCTGCCTCTTCACATTGGGAAAGTAAAGGAACAGCCAAAATCTTGTGTGCGCTCCATTGTTCCCAATTACGATTTACAACTTTTTGTTAACATGTTCTCTGGGCCTTGACGGATCCATCAGTTTTAAGTGCTTTTAAATAGTCTATTGTTGAGGAAGACATGAGAAGTATTGAAAACGAGACTTTTTTCTTAAATGCTTGTAATAACTTGACCGGTTTTCCGGTTTTGCAACTCTCCAGTGAAAAACACTTCTTTGTGTGAGTATGCCAACCTTTTTGGCTCAAATTTTCATCAGAAATTTAAACCAAAAAGGCAATGTGAACTGTACTATCTGTTGCTTTCCAACTTTCATCATTACTGTATTTGGTCTACAAGACTAAAGAAATATAGAAAAGACTGATCTTCCTGTCCTTATTTGGATGTGTCTCTTGGGAGTCTAACTGAGGTCCCTTGACATCTTCCCTAAGCTAGGGTTTAGAGGTCAGTACCATATTCAGAAGCGCATTTACAAACTGATGTTTTGGGTTATGTTCTCTCTCCCTTTCAGTTGCTTGCGGTCAGCCTCCTGTTGTGGAAAATGCAAAGACCTTTGGGAAGATGAAACCTCGTTACGAAATCAACTCCCTTATTAGATATCACTGCAAAGATGGTTTCATCCAGCGTCATATTCCAACCATCCGGTGCCAAGGGAATGGAAGATGGGATATGCCTAAAATTACTTGCATGAATCGTGAGTTCTTTCAAAGCAAACCAGTGCTGGATCAGAAATAATAGACTAATTTAAGATTAATAAGTAATCAATATATATTTTAAGAGAAGTGCAAATCTCATATGATAGATTATGACAACACCACCGCTCACTCTATCTGTAGGAAAAAACAGCAGGCCTCCAAAACTAATGAAAATGTTCCTCTTCTGGTTTTGCCACCAAGATTCTTTTAAAGTAAACAACAACACTTTTACAAAGCCCCTGAAATCAACAGTTTCCTAATAACACTAACAATTCTGTCTGCAACTGTGGTCTAGCTGTGTGTAAGAGATGCTTCTCTTAGTCATAGTACCAGTAAAACATTTGTTAATCCTCTAATTAATCAAGAATAAGTGGAGCTGTAACGTGAAGTGTAGACAGCCCATTCATAGTCAAATAATTTGAAATAATTTCCCTTTTTTCCTCCTTCTTATTGCAGCGTCCACATACCAAAGGACTTACTCTAAGAAATACTACTATAAACATTCTTCATCAGGAAAGGGAACATCATTAAATTCATCAAAACACTATCATCGCTGGATCAGGACGTGGCAGGACTCAAGGCGCTGAGAGCTAAATGGTGAATGGGGATTTCCACCATTTCAGCCAAAGTCGTAACTTTCTGTGCCTTTTCTATCACTTATAGGAGTATTATGAAATTGTTTTGAAACTATGGACTGCGGTATTCACAATGCATTTTGCAAAAATATGGTGTTTATCAGAAAATTTTTAAAAAAAGGAGAAGTGCTTATGGGGATAAAAGGAAACCATTTCCAGCCTATAAAGATTATTAGTTTTCTATATGCCATCAGTGTGGACCATTTTATGATATATACCAGCCTTCTGCAATATTTAAACAGCTCGATTTTAGCACCAATGAAAATGTAAATAAGATGATTTTAATGTTGTTTAATTGTGTGTTGTTTTTAAAATCCTGTATATAAAATGAAAAGTCACACTAATTTCAGGCATATTTATGGTTAGAACGGCCTCAGAGGTCTTCAGTCATTTATGACGTTGTTTTTATGTTGTTTACCTAGGCTGGAAATGGTTGAAATAACTTCACTGGCTGAAATTTGCTATTATCAGGTGAAGATAAACACACAAGTTACATGACTTTATTTTTTAATGGGAGCTGTGCCGTTTCCCATCCAAGGTACAGTTTGTGTCCATGAGATGCAAAGTTTAGACAGAGCACATAAAAGTGGCATGAAGCATGAACTAGGGACTGCAGTGTGGAATTTTTTTCCTGCTCTCCATTCCAGCTTCACTATTCATGGGAAAGGACTGCATGGAGGAGTTGAGTATGACAAGGAGGTCCTGTAAAAATCCAAGTGCTAATACATTAACTCAATCAACCAGGGCCACTTTTTTGAAAAGAAGAAAAAAAGAGAAAAAAAATTACTTTCACGACATTAACCACAAGGTCTATATTACAGGTCTCTGCATTCTAAAATGGAGATAGACCTGGTGTTTGGGGGATTTTTTTTTTGTAAAAAACAAACAAAAATCAAAAAAGTAAATAATTTTGTATATATAACCATTTTTTAATCTTTTTATAAAGTAATGAATGTTTGTGTATGAATGCTGCAGCTGTGAAGCGTACATAAATAAATGAAGTAAGCCATACTGATTTAATTTATTGGATGTTATTTTACCCATGCAAAGAAGATTAAAAGAGCTCGCCAGTGCAGTATTAGCCCCTGAGCTCCACTTTTGGAACCATCTTTCAGTTCAACTGCGATTTCCCTGGAGAACAAAATTCCTGCTAAACAGGATCATTTGTTTGCGGTTAGATGGGTGAGAACTGTGTGACTTACAGAAGAATCAGAATCTTGGCTTTCTAGAAAGAAATGTGTGCACAAAGAGATTATAGGTTGTAGTTGGTGCAGTGTGTACGTAGGAGTTTTCTATTATGATTTCTTACCCTGGTCAGCTCGATGACTGACCTGGATGTGTACAGTAAGTGTAGAAGGCAACGTTTGAAACGACCTCTCCACAGAAAGGACTGTTATTTCTGCAAAGTGCCTTGCACATCTTTGGGCACAGGAAAAAAAAAAAAAAAAAAAAGAAAAAAGAAAAAAAAAAGTGAAAATAAAGAACAGTAAGTTCCCTATGGTATACCTTTTAAAATAACGTTACAAGTACAAACACAGATGGGAGGTTTATGCCTTTGTGTTAGTGTGGGGATATGATGCAAAAAGTTGAAAGGGAAAGGAAAAGAATTGAGACCCAGCCAACATGTAAGAGTTTGTACTAGGCAGAGCTGCCCGTGGAGTGACCTTGCCATAGCTCGTTGGGAACAGTAACTACAGTTCCAGACAACATCTCTCAAGAAATTGCAGTTACTGCTCCATCGAGTGTACCCAATCTTTGTGTGTTCAACATGGCAGTGCCTCACTGCGTTGGCTGGTTCATTCCCCACCCCTTGCCCCCAAACAATGCACATAATACTTTTCTCTATTTATATTATTATCTTGTATAGTGTATAATGTGAATGTCTGTTTTTTTTGTGAATGAAAGTCTAAAATCTTTGTAACTTTTATATCTGCTTCTGTTTCACCAAAGAAACAAGGTTTTGCTATACTGTGACTTGTCTTGTTATTGCATGTCTTCCTGTTTAAATCTATGCAATGTGATTTTTTTCATATGAATACAATTAGACTGTCAGGTACTTCACAATTATCATGGGCTTAGTCAATTGCCCACTGGAGTCAAAGAGAGTCAGCTGGCTGAACTTTAGTAGGTGCTGGATTTGACTTTATATGAGCAGCTCTAGGGGATATTTTAAGATACACATTGTATGTTTTGAAGTTGATTATTGCTTGTATAAGTCAAGGCTCTGTTCATAAATATACAATATTCTACACATCACTTCCTTGTACCAGAAACATACAGAACAGAAAATATATTTTAACACTTGGCAAACTTTCTCACCATATGTATAAAAAACCCTGCATAGATTTGTTGTTTTCATGTCTACTTGTTGGATTTAAACAATGTTGTAAGGCATTCAGATAACATTGTGATTGTAGTTTTAAATAGGTTAGATACAGTGCTTATATTGATTTTTTTTCACCTCCTTCTATTACGCATAATAAAATAGGACTGACAACATTCCTTATTAAAAAAAAAAAAAAAAAACTAAAAAAACACCCCACCTGTTACCCATGCTTGTTTATTTAGAATCATAGAATCATAGAATTGTCTAGGTTGGAAGAGACCCTTGGGATCATCGAGTCCAACCATCTAGACAGGGAATGGAACTTTATTCAGCTCTGGAGACTCTCTCATACTGGTCTAAATGCCAAATGTTCCAGTACCAGCCCCCTGCAAAATGCATGCACTCTTATCACACCGTTAGCTCTGCTGTGAAGCCAGGGTGTTGCCACAATGAGTGCCGTGATTCCTTTACGTGGAGCATCTCTGACCTCCAGTATGCGGAACCATTGGGATTGGAGTAGAGGGATAGAAGACAAAACTAGACATACAGATTTCCTGAGTGAGTGTTTCTTAGCTCTGTTTTCTCGCCTTTCGAGTTAAACCAGAATTCTTAACTTATTTTTCAAAGTTACCCTCTATCTACTGCAGAGATAGAAGAGACCACTTTAAATCATGTTTTACAAGTACAGGCAAGACAAATATCAGAGTAGTATTCCTGTAGTAATCTTCCCCTGTTGCACAAGTATTGAACTTTTTGCCTCTACTAACACACCATCTGCCATTTAAAGGGATACAGAAACAGCTGTAGAGTGGGAGGTAGAAAGGTTAGGAGAGGATGGGGCGCTGATGACTAGCTTAGAGGAGTTCAGATGTGCTCTGCACACCTTGGGTTGCCAGCAGCGCATGGAATATCTGGTTCAACCAAGGCTCTGGCTGCAGGTTTGTACACAGAGCTCAAAATGCCGCATGAGAGCAACTGCATTTTGTGTGCCCATGAAAGTCTCTGCAGAGTAGCTATAATTATTCTGACCGTCTTCCCGTCCCTTCAGATATTGACAATATTTGACTCTCTGGCATGAACCTGCAGAGGTTAACACCACAGGGGATAGAAATAAGCCAGGTCACCTATGTCGGTAGAGCTTCTCAATTAGCAAGAGTAGGTGCTGGTTAGTGGAAACACTCCTATATTTCAGCTAAGCCCTAGGAGATGCACAACTTCTTGAATCTTGGGAGGAAGAGATAGCTTCCTGATGGCAGATCTCCTGGTGGGACATGGATTTCTACGGGATATCTCACCCGATATGTTGCTGCAAGTAGCAAGAGACTGGGGATGGATGAACCACGTGGGAGAAAACAGAAGTCCCTGGAAATGCAAGGGGCAGGCCAGCAAGATACAAACAGCATGGCAAGGGGCTGCCAATGGACAGGACAGCCTGAAAAGAGGGCTTTGCAGTCAGAATTTTCTTTGCCAGGGCTGGAGAACATCGCCTGAGGCTTAACCTATGGGTATGATTAGGGTCCATGTCTGTAACACTTCTTTAAGTGGAAGCTCTTCATTTCTGCGGGCAGCAGCTCTGCACTCCGCATACACAGAAGTCGGCACATGCAAGCAGGGACAATCCCTTGGCCATGGGAGGCTGAAACTGCAACAGCTGGAGCAAGTTTGAGCTGTAAAAAGCTGAGCTGCACAGTGGCCTGCGGTGACTGAGGAGGAAGGGATGTAAGAGGAGGTGGAGGAGGAGGAGCAGCTACCCGTTTGAATGCTATTGTGTAACTTCCGGAAACCAGGATCCTGCTAAGAGCATGACTTGTGGGTGTAATTAAATCCTCAGTGAAGCTCTGCACCTCTAGAAAGTTAGGGGGTTGGTTTTGTTTTTTTTTTCCACATTGTAGATGCTGAGATTTTGCATTTACAAGAGCTATGTTTTTGTCTGCTAAGAAGTCCTGCTGCTCTTCTGTCTCCAAAAAACCTCCAGATAGTTCCTCCTCAGCCTGAGTAAGGCTGCTGAAGGAGCAGCAGCTGCAAAGATGCCTCCTGGGTCTTTTAGGCAGAACTGTGAACTTCAGTGGGGTTTGTAGGCAGAGGGGTATGAATCATTCCTGATGTGAACCAGAACTATTTCTTAGTCCAGACTATAGGGAGAAAGAGTGGTCATGTTCTTGTTTCAATTAACAAGGCTGGCAGCATGCTGTCCTGTGCCCCAGGGGTGGGAGATGACTCAAGCTGTCTGTAGGCTTCAGCTCTCCAGGTAGAAAACCGCTCCTTCACCAGGAAATGTTTAAGGCTTTGCATACCAAAAATGAGTGGAAAAATCCCTGGGTTCAGTGCAGCTGTGTTAATGCACAAAGGCAAATGCATCCTTTTTCCAAAAAAAAACCCCACACAACTTGTATTATGGATTGTAAACAGTGACGTGCATAGCCCTTGATGAGCACACTGTTTTTCCTGACAAACGATGAAAGGGATATAAACGATGTTTGGATGAGGCATGGACAAAAGCTTACAGGCCATGCAAGGTTGTTAGCATAGTGAAGCCAAGAAAAATTGTCATTGTAAGGATAGAAATATCATCCAGGAGAAGGTGTATCATTTAAACACTCCAGCAGTACGTCTGGCAGAAAACTCAAGAGTCTGCAAAGTGCGATTTGATGGCAAATTTTGGTTTTCATGGCAAATAAATATTTTCAAGTGGGGAAGCCATCAGCTGTTACTGCTATGGAGGCTAAGTTACTGTTTAAATGCAGATAAAAAAGAGAAATGGGACTTTGAGGTGTATTAGTGAGGAATTTACTGCAAGGGTGGGAATAAATTCATGATACTACCCAAGTGCCTCCAAATTTCCAGCTGCCAATAGCCAGGAAAAATGAACTGAAGCTGGAGATGGTCCAGCAGCCTGCTTTTGGGATGGTCAGAAGGTTGGAGAAGGTAAAAGGAAGGCAAACACTCGTGGTGGTCCCACACAGAAGAAACAGGAGTGATTACATGGCTTATGATTTTAAGCTCTAGAAGTTGCATCATGTAGTGGCGAGAAGTCCTGTGATGGTAAAAGTCCTTATTATTTTAAGATGGGAGGTAATCAATTTAGGAAGGGGAATAAATGGTGTGGTTGTCTTCAGTAGCAGGACAATTGCATGAATTTTAGTCCTGTGTTTCTTAAAATGCAGTCGTTGGGGTAATGATGACACATAATGTTGCTGTGTGGTAGGGAAATAAGTAGCACAGAGGCTTGGCAGAGGTGATACACAAAGATCTGCAGCAGACCCAGGCCATGAACCTGTGTTTACTAAGGGCCCTGTTCCTTCACAGGTTTAAAATATATAAATAAATACATAAATAAATAAATAAATAAAGTGACTTGTCTAAGCAGGGGATGAAAGTTTTGATTCCAAAGGCAGTATGATCCCAGGCTGCTCTCTTCAGGGTTAAAACAAATCTTGCGCTCACCCATGTACTGCATCTTTGTCAATACATCTTTTAATAAGCTCAGAAAAGGTGGGGGGAAAAGCAGCAGATGTTGCTGACAGTGCTGATTGCTTGCTGAACAAAAGATCCCTTCGATGGCGAAAGCCCCACCTGTTCTTCCGCTGCAGCTTGCTCATCTTAAATCACAGCCACCCCCTAGATGTGTGCCAATCCTGACCGAGGACAGAGTACGGCGGGTGACAGAGTCAGTGACCGCTCCAGTGCGCTTTCCGTGCCAACCTCTCGATGAGAGAGGAGACAGCCCGCAGCTTCCCATGGCCGCAGTGGCAGCGCTGAACCTGCCTTACCTGCAGCATGGGGTGGCTGAGTGGTGCAAGTGCCAGGCTGAACCTAACGCCCCGTGTCTCCCAAAAGGGCGTTCGAATGGGAACGTGTGCCCTGTTAACAAAACCTGTGGATTTCGGTAGATTTCAAACCCTGCTGTGGCCCCAGGCTGTTACTTGCAGTTTGAAAACAGCTGATGGTACAGGGCTGAAATGTGAGCTTTTAAATGTGAGAAAATAAAGATGTTTTCCTCTCAGTTGGCTGAACCGGTCATACTGGTTTTCTGATGCTTTCAGGGTATAAAGAGAATCCTAAACCCAGCACAGCATCATTGATCATGGTACCAAATCAATCGCACCCCATTGAGTCTTGCAGAAACCATCTCCGTTAGGTATGTCTGTAGGAGGATCTGAAGCACGTCAGAGCAAAGGTCTGTCTGCTTACACTGCACCGTCCCTGACAGAGACACGTGGAAGACGCTTTAAGGAAAAAGGCATGATTGGAAAAAGTGATGTTTTGATC